TCACTGGAAGGTTAGCCTTTAACCATTAGAGACAACCAAACTCAAGACATGTATATATAAATATCACATGTTAACATAAAGATTGTTAATGTACAACATTAAATTAAGAATGCTACCAAATTTCTTTGATGGGTGTATGAGTGTGTTCCTGTGTCTGTGCTAGTGAGGGACATCATTAAAGATTCTAATAAGCTTGAGAAAGTCGCCTAAAAACACTATCAGTCTATAGCACACATGCTATTGAAATTAAATGCAACGGGGGTGTTCTTAGCATCTTGTTAATTTGAAAAATCCAATTTTCTCTAATATTTTAATTAAGCCACAAATTTAGAATCCCATTAAGAAATAAATGGTTATGTATATACTTAAAATGGCCTTAGCAACTCAGAGACATGGTCTCTCTTATTTTTAAGCTATGCATTCAAGTTTCAAGCACAAGAATAAAACCATTTCATATATTTGAAGGTTTATATTTAGCAATACAAAACTGTATACTGCTTTCTTCGCTCTATCTAAAAAAAACCACACCATTTCCTCCCCAAAGTAACTTCCTCAAATTTTTACCAGGCATTGTTTTTATTTTTAGTATTTTTACTAATTCTTCTAACTAAGAGGAGAAACAATGTTCCAATTGGGCACTCATCCTTTTTAATTCCTTTGTTATGAATTATTCCCAAGTAACTGGGGGAATAATCTATCATTCAAAAGTAGGCTTATAGAGTAGGCTTGCATAATAATTATTTGCAGTAGAGGAAGAGTGTAAGGAGTTGGCACCACCTCAAAGAACAAAATAGCTAGAGTGGATATGGGTGGATGGTTGGGACTCACAAATAATGAAAATGTACTAAAAGCATTAGGCAACAAACTCTTATTCCTGTCAGGCTTACATTAGAGGAAGCATGCTGGGAAGAAAAGGAAATTACTAAGAAAATGTAGATGCTTAACCAAATAACTACAAACTTACTCTGAAAGTATCAAGAAGAAAAGAAAAATTCAAGGTCTAGTTTTCTCTGCTACAAAGAGAATATGTGACTTATTTATCATATAAATCTGCCAGTTCTATTGCTGAGGAAGAACACATTCCCTTTCCCTTCCAACAAATGCTGGACTATTGGCCAACAGTAAAAATTTTCAAGTCTGTTTTAAATGTAACTTGCAACCTCGTTTTTTCCACACCTAGAAAATCTCATTTATAACATTACTTTATGCTCTTTTAAAAGTTTGTACATTCCACAAAGTTTTTTTTTGGTCAAAAAAGAGTAAGGATATTTCACAAGTAAAACTTTACAGTGATTTATTTTTTTCTTCACCCATAAAATGGGGAGTAATATTAGTACCCACTTCATAGTTATTATAAGGACTAAATAAAATAATGCTTTTAAAGTGATTAGCATATTGCCTGATATGCAAGAATCAATGACTCTGAGATATTATCACCATGGGAAGACAATTTATACTAACTAAATATTTCACAGAATAATCTCAGAAGAGTTAACACTGTTAATTACTAAAATTTACATCATCAGTGCCTGACATGCATCCAATAAATATGGTTTGAAACTATACATTCCTCTCAATGTGAGTTATTCAGCAGTAATCAGACATATACAAATCTACTCCAACTTCCTGCTACCTCCTCCCAAACCCTAAGCTTGACTCATATCCAGAGTCTTATACTAAAACCATTCAGGCAAGTTAGAAATAAAAATCTATAATAATAAAAGGATAAAATGCTAATTAGACCAGACATCCTTCTTTCTGGACAAAGCCGCAGTGGGCAGTGCCAGGCAGAGGCCCCGGCAGCAGAGGCCACCAGCCGCAGCGGCAATGGGTGGGGGCCGGGGACAGGCCCTTGCACAAATTTTGTGCATTGGGCCTCTAGTGTAAATATAAAAGGGTCTTTACAGCTACAAGATAACTGTTTCTGATTCCTTTTCTTATGGAACTCTGTACAGGAACAAATGCAGCAAATACCTATTTGATACATTCTTCTTCAATATAAATTTTTAAAAAATCTTTGGATTAAACACACTTCATTTTTTGGTTTTGTTTCTATTTTACTCTTTCAGAATAAAACTAAGGTCACTGAAAGATAAATGCAATTTTTTAACCTAAAGCTTCTTGAACTCTATCTACTATTAAAACACAACACTATTATAGCTAAAACCTCTTTCCAAGACATACTGATAGCTAGGGTACAACACAACCTAGGTTCAGCCAAGCAGAAGTGCTAAATGAAGATGTGTGTAAGGAGGAACTAGCCAGCCTGAGTTGGTAGGGGAAGAACAGGATGGTAATAGAGTTTTATTCATCTGGGGTTGTCAATGGTGGCTACCACTTACAGAGTGGGTTAGGAGCATTAGAGTTGGTAGCTTGGAAGCAGGCCAGTACTATGGTGTAGTTTTAGTTGTTTCTAGAAATTTAAAATATAATCCTTTCCTTTAGCTCTCCCAATATGTCTGGAAATTATCTCATTCTCTTTAATATATTTTATTGATTTTACACAGAGAGGAATTGAGAAGGATAGAGAGTTAGAAACGTCGATGAGAGAGATACATCGACCAGCTGCCTCTTGCACACACCCCCCCCCACCCCCCCACTCCCCCCCTCCCTCCCGCACTGGGGATGTGCCCGCAACCAAGGTACGTGCCCTTGACCGGAATCGAACCCGGGACCTTTCAGTCCACAGACCGACGCTCTATCTACTGAGCCAAACCGGTTTTGGCTATCTCATTCTCTTTAGTAAATAAATAACTTTCTGCTTAAATAATCCGATTTGTACTCTGTTGTCTGAAACTAAGAACCTTGACCAATACCCAGAAAATAAAGAACTTATCAATGAAACTGAATCAACTCATCTGTATATAAATTTCAAAAACATGCATAACTAAAAACAAACATAGTGCTTAAAAGTCTTCACTATAGTTTTATATTTGTGAAGGTACTGAAAGTAGATTATTTAATAATACTGGTGATATAACAACTAATAATATTATTTAATAATACTGGTGATATAACAACTAATTTCTATGTAAGAATTCCCTTACAGGATTGGTCAGTTGTTATTAATCAAGAGGTCTTTTATATTATAACTCATAAAGATTACTAACATCAAATCAGAGTAAGTTTAGGAGCCAAAACCTTTATTCTGTAACTTCAATTGATCATATTTCAATTACTGAAAGCAATAGAAAATCTGGGAAAAATTAAAGGGAAGGATGAAATTTTGCTTTTCATCAATTAAATAAATAACTACAATGAGTGACCCAAAATCATAAATCTGGGATCTAGATATTTAACTTTTAAAAATTGTAGAACAAACTTCAACATAAAGAACTACTCAAAATATCAAAGCACACTGTCAAACTTATTTAGATATAAAACTATTGAATCAAAATGAACTGAAATTATTTTAAAGCAAGCCATAACTCTTTTGTATGCCAATCTGAACAAAATATTTAAAAGAATCGGTTCAAGAGTCAAAGTTAACACAACCATAATTTGTTTAACAGTTTCTAACAATGCAGTTTTCAATAAAAATTTTACTGCCGAAATCGGTTTGGCTCAGTGGATAGAACGTTGGCCTGCAGACTGAAAGGTTCCAGGTTCGATTCCGGTCAAGGGTATGTACCCTGGTTGGGGGCACATCCCCGGTAGGGGGTGTGCAGGAGGCAACTGGTTGATGTTTCTCTCTCATCGATGTTTCTAGCTCTCCCTTCCTCTCTGTAAAAAAAATCAATAAAATATATTTTAGAAAAATTTAACTACTGAAGATATATTTAGTATTTATATATTTTAGTATTTATAAAATGATATAATGATATAAAATGATGCTCAACCACTGAGTCATGCTGGCTGGGTCAGATCTACTTTTTCTTAAGCCTAAACTTTTCTTATTACACCAGGTTGCTTTTTTTTAAATAAAGAGAAATCATCAATTTATTTTTCTCACATAAAAATAAAATATTGTACCTAATAATATCATTCTTCCATCTCAATTTAGTGTTAAGAATTATTGGGAGGACCAGGACATGAACTCTGATCTATGAAGATAGAGTGCTTTCAATTAATTATATGATCTATAATAATAAAAGCATAATATGCAAATTGACGGAACGATCGAAAGCAATATGACCATCCTGACAACCTTCCAGATGACCACACTATGACATGCACTGGCACCACACCAGCCAAGGAGAGTGCGAAGGTCTGGGCTTCCCTCCTCAGGGCGATTGTGGGGCAATGGCGGGCTCCCCAACCAGGATCTATCGTCTCAAAGAGGGAGGCCTAGGCTCCTTCTGCACAGTGATCAATTACAGAGCCCTGGTCAGGTAGGCGGGGCCTCCTTCTGCAGGGTGATTGATCTGTGGGCCCTGCAATCAATCACTCCACAGAAGGAGGCCCAGACTACTGGCCAGGGACACTGTGGCGGGTCTGCGGGGGCCGGTCAGCAATCGCTCTGCAGAGGGAGGTCCAGGCCAGCCCAGTGACTGCACCCCATGCCTGAAGAGGGAAGTGACCGGTGGCAGGGGGAGGGGCAGCGCCCCACAGATGGCAAGCAGTGGCAGCATCTGGACAGGGCCAGCTGCCGGAAGCTGGGGGAAGGATAGCCCTGATAGGCCCTGATTACCCGCCCGGCCTAGGGATCCTACCCGAGGGGGTCCCAGATTGTGAGAGCGCGCAAGCCAGGCTGAAGGACCCCCTCTCCCAGTGCACGAATTTTGTGCACCAGGCCTGTAATAGGTAATAATGAATAATCTATAAAGAAAAATCAATTTGTAAATGTTGTTTCCTAATACTTTCTCTTCTGAACTAAACTACCCTTTTTGAAGTCTACTGGTCTATTAAAACAGATCTGTTCAATAGCTTAACCAAGGCAAAGACAGACTGTCAAAGGCAATACTATTTTTCATTTATCACAAGAGTGGCAATTAATTCATTAGCTTGATAATCAACTGCACTGCTGGTGATATTCGCAAAAGTCAAATGAAATAACTTACTGTGCACAAGGATGTCTTCGTGATTTTCAGGGTAAAATCTGAAGAAAACTCCAAATCTGAGACAGATGTTTTATGGCAATCTATATGCTACCCATTAAAAGAATGGAGAGAATAATTTAGTAAAAATAGTAAGGACAAAACAAAAACACAGATAAATACTTCCTTTTGAGCAAAAAGGATTACAATAAATTAATGTTTTGCAAACTTTAATCATTTACACCCCACTTTTGGGATTGTTTCCAAATTTAAGGGTTACTAGCACTATCACTTAGTTTATTTATTTATTTTTAATCACATTAGTATTATTTACTTGAACTTTTTGTAAGAATAGTGTAGTGGCTCAAATCATGGCTCTAATGTGGTCAAGATTTTTCTAAGACATAATAAAGTACTTTCAAATAAAAAATATTTTCCAATTAAAATTGTGTATACCACTAGTGCAATACATTTGCTAGAAACTGTATGATACCAGTCATTTCTTATAGGAAATGACAAAACACATCTTATATAATGAAAGCCTAATATGCTAAGTGTCTGGTTGTCCAGTTGGCCGTTCAACGAATCAAAGTGTAATATGCTAATGATATGCTAAGGTTGCCCAACCACTTGCTATGATGTGCACTTACCACCAGGGGGCAAGACAGAGCAGTCAACCCCAGTAGCTATGACATGCACTGACTACTAGGGGGTAGATGCTCCAACCAGTAGGTTAGCTTGCTGCTGAGGTCTGGCAGATTGGGACTGAGGGAAACTGCCTAGACACACATGGAGTCCTCCTATGGTCCCTCCATGGCTGGCCAACCTCCCACATCCCTCCCCAGTCCAGATCATGCACCAGTAGGGTCCCTAGGCCTGGCCTGCATCCTCTCACAATCCAAGACCCTTAGGGATGTCAGAGAGCCAGTTTCAGCCAATCCCGCAGGCCAGGCTGAGGGACTCCAGTGGTGAACAAATTCATGCACCAGGCCTCTGGTACTAATGAAAAGAACAGAGTGATTTAGAATTCATTTTGTAAAGACAGTGGAAGATAAGTTGGATATCAGCAAACCAACTATGAAGATTCAACTAAAAAAAGTCAAATATTCTTATTTTCCCTAATCTGCCCTAGTTCAAGTCCTTTTCCATTTTATTATGGAGAGTAGATGGAATCAGTTATAGTCGTGTGACCCGAGTATGTAAGATTGTTAACAATTGACTTTACATGAGTAGATTATAACACAGTGGAGACAATTCATATGATCATATACCTGAACCATTACTCTATTTTAGATAGTTTTAGAAAATTTTAAAGTTGCAAAGTGACTGCCTTTTATTTATAGGAGGATTGGAAGCACAGAATAAACTGTATTTACCTAAACAAACAAACAAACAAACAAATAAAAGATTGATGTTTAAAAAAAGAGAAAGGGTATATTTTTTAAACACCTTCATCTTTCAGTCCTAAATTTTGTATTTCCACTATTTATTCATAGCATTTTTTGGCACTTAAGCAAAGAGATCACTAGGGAGAGAAATTAGCCCTGCCCTCCCCCACATAATCCTCTTCCTTCTGCTCAGCCTAAGGGCTGAGTTGGCTATAACTGTACACTCCTACTCTGAGCCAAAGAGTCCAAATAAATCGCTTTCTATCAGTACTAGAGCACTAAACAGTACTATTATTATGAAGCAGGCTGTATTTTTTTCTTAAAAGCTGAATGCAATTTTAATAAGCTTGCTCTTATTGAAAAACTTTACATGTTTATTATTCTATGCTAATTTTAAATACTTTATCCATCTAAGAGAATTGATAAACATATACTGAATATCTTCTTTGTGTAGAAAACAATTATTGATGTTATAAAAGTAACAATGTGAGTAAAAAGAGGAAACAATGTTTAAACCAAACACTAAACAATCTATATTTATTTAATTGAAACAAACAAATTAAGGAGTTTTAAGAAAAGCAATATGTTATTATTCAACCCATGAAAGTTTGACATAGCAAAATTCATAAAACTGGATATTTACAAGGTGAAAAATAAGATATTAAAATACTAAAGGAATTAATTGAACATTCTGAACACAGTTTAGTTCAATGGAAAAATTCACTGTACTTACTCTGCAAGGGATAGAAGGACAAGCTAAGTTGTGTGGAATATGTGATATGAATGAATTATCTGGCTATTAAAGGGAAACTAGAATAAATCCAGGAGGTGGTGATGAAGCAGAAATGACTATATAGCAGGACAGGGCTTTTCACCTTCACTAAGTCAAAAATAAATCACTTAGAAGTGATTCAACTGGAGTATAAGAAACTTCAATATATCAAGAGAAGTGATTTCAAAGGGATGATATAGTTATAGTTATGACTTTAAGTTGTTTTATACTGATTAAAATAGGAAGATTACTGTTTGAAATCTCATATAAAAATCAACATTAATTTCAAATACTGAACTCAGAAATGTGGCAAAACTATTAGAGAAAATAAAATTGGTAAAACACCTACCTTAATACTACAAGAGTCTGAAATAAGAGTCTTCGGATCTAAAACTTCCACAACAGCTTCTGGAATAACTGCCTTCTTCATGCAGGACATGTTGAAACCATAGACATCATCCCAAAAAGCAATTCTATCAGCATGTTTATTCACATCACTTACGGCCAAAAGGCTGATAGTGCAAATATCAGGATAGACTGCAAGAAAGAAAATATCCAACAATTTACCATTAGTTCCCATTATTATAAAACAGAATTTAAAAAGGCTAAATATAATTATCAAATCCATCAGTATGGCTCACTAGCAATTGATTACTAGCAGTGGGGGATTTATGAAGGTATAGCTCATGGAAAATAACCAAGTTCTCTCATGTGGCTCCCTTAAATAAATAAAAAGATTTCCATCATTGTGATGGTAAGATTAAAATAAGGATTTCACCAATGGGTTGCTATTAAAATAATTAAAAGAGAATCACATAATTAGGTAATCCTGAAATGGACATATTAATATTAAATTTACAGCATGCTGACGTTAAAAAGATACTAGATCTTTACTTATAGCTTTGGAACATGCAGAGAGGGACAAATTATTTTAAAAGTTAGTATCTTAAACATTCATGTGATGGAATATTATAGTTGTGTAGAAGACCACTTCATATCACTGAAGAGATATATTCAAGAAATATTTAGGAGGTTGAATTCATAGGATTGTAAGACTGGCTGGCTATGGAGGTGAGGAAGAGGAAAGAGTCAAGGATGACAGTTTTTAGCTTTATAACGGCAGAATGTGGTACTAATCATTATATGGAATAAATAAGGGCAGATTCAAGAAAAATATAAGTGTTTAATGCTTATGAGACAAACGGGTAAAAATATCCACTAAGCAGCTGAATATAGTAGGTGTGAAATTCAAAAGAGATTATCTGGCTCAAGATATAAATTTGGGACCATAAGTATATAAATGGACATTAAGTAATGGGAGCTCATGAGGTTCCCAAGATGAGTACCAGAATTTAAGAGATGTATAGAAAAAGGGGATGTTGAGAAGAAACGGCTGAGAACCTGGGGCCACAGGAGTAAGAGGAAAACCAAGTGTTAAGAGCATTAAGGGAGGAGAGTGATTCAGGAAGAAACTTTCCCCGAATAACAAACATAAATCTTTATAGCAAAACATTTTAAATAATACTGATTTTTTTTAGTAATAAATAAAAAATGAACTTTGTCCTTCAAATGTATTAAAATGAATTATCACCATATTACCATGATTTATAATATAAATCACATTTTCTTTTAACAACAAATTGAAAGCAAGTACATGTGTACCAAAGAAATGAAAAAAAGAAGTAATTTTATGGCTATCAATTAGCCTTCAGACTTAAGCAGTAGAGAAATAACTTTCTCTTTCCCCCAAACTTTGTTTCTATTCACAGCCTTGGAAATTTTATTATTCAATGACAACAGCACTAAATTATCTTCCAAATGAAGCCCATGATAAGATCTGCTGGCATCAAAGCAATTGCTTCTTCCACACCTGACATGTGAGACTCCAAGAATAAATACTTGGTGCTATACTATTGTTAAGAAGTTTCTCCAGTCCTCCCCACAGAGGCCTGTCAGGCAGATAAGAGAGCTGAGCTAGAGTCTACTTCCATGCAAATTCAGATACTTCTACTCTCCTCCACAGATTCAGTAAGCCACTTGCCTGTGCATAAATTTTGTATTGATACAAATTCTTCAAAGTAACTGATTTGTTATTGCAAATGCTAACTGAACAAGAACATCAGCCACATGAAAGTATGTTTAGTTTCTTATACCAGATATTTAAGATGAGAAACACTGAAGAAACAGTATTCCGAAGCAATTTTAGATATTTGGAAGCTTCTTTATACATCCTTCCTGGGACTTGGTAGAACAATAGTAGAAGCTTTCCCACATTATGCTGCTAAAGCAGCTACAGACAATCCTATATAATAATACTATATAATAAAAGTGTAATATGCAAATCGACTGAACTACAGAATGACCAGTTGGTGGGGGCAGGGCCAGCAAGCAGGTGGCCAGCCAAGGTGTGTGCCAGCAGAGGGAGGGAGGGAACACTGATGGGGATTGGGGGAACAGCAGTGACCAGAGGTAGTGAAGAGACAATCGGGGGCCCACCCAGTGGCCTCCCGCAGAGAGAGACATAACAGAGGACTACCGGACTATGAGAGGATGCAGGCTGGGTTAAAGGTCCCCTCCCCTCCCCCGACCAGGGAACAAATTTTTGTGCATCTAGTACATACATAAATGAGCATGGCTATGTTCCAATAAAACATTATCTACAAAATCAGGCAGCAGGCCAGGTATAGATACCTCTGATATAGAGAAATGGATGTGGGAGGGATCAGGGCCACGTACTTCAGAGAGTGCTACACACACTGCAGTCTATGGGAATCCAATATCTTCTGGAGTTCACAAACATTCAATTTACTTAACATGGTTCATAGACTCCTTCCACTTTAGAATAGTATTTTACATCTTAGTGAAATTTTTAAACTATCATCAATCTCTTTATTAGGAAATGTCAAATGACAGGCCATGGGTCAAATTCAGCCCATTGCCTGTTTTTATAAATAAGTTGTTGTTGTTCTTTCTTTTTTTTCTTTTCTTTTTTTTAAGGTATTATATGTGTACACATTTTACCATTGCCACCCCCTCCCACACACACACACTCCATATAAATAAGTTTAATTGGCACACCGCCATGTTCTATGGCTGTTACTGTGGAAAAGCTGAGTCGCTGGGATGAAACTGTGGCCTATACTAGTAAAGCTGAAAATATTCACTATCTGCCCTTTGGTAGAAAAAGTATGCTAACTTCTGGTTGTATCTATTAAGCAATCCTATATAATAAAGGCCTAATATGCAAATCGACTGAATGGCAGAATGACTGATTCCTATGATGCGCATTGACCACCAGGGGCCAGAAACTCAATGCAGGAGCTGCCCCCAGCTCTCAGGTCCTGCCTGTTGCCCTGTAGAGGGAGGTGACTGGCAGCGGCGATGGGGGCAGGTATGGCAAGTGGGCAGTGCCAGGCCAGCCAAAGTGGGCGCCAGTGGGAGCCCCCCGATTGTCCTGCCAATTGCCCCACAGATTGGCCCTGATCTCCGGCCAGGCCTAAAGATCCTACCTGTGCAAGAACTTTGTGCACCGGGCCTCTAGTGTACTAATAATTAATACTACTAAGAATTAAGAATAAGATTTTCATCAGGAAAAAATGTTATCTCACTAAAAGTAATTTTTAAAGTTTTAAAAATATGTTGATAATAAAGAAATAATCTAAAGAGGCATATAATTTTATTTTTTCTAGTGTTGAGCTAATTGTATTTCAAGCTAATCACATTTCACAAAAGTACAGAAATATCATAGTTTTTATATCTGTTAAAATTTAGAAATGAAATTATCTTTCAGTTAGTAAGTTCCATGAGTATTCATAAAGGACTTGTAATCAGGTGTGTTATAGGTGTGTTTGGTTCTATATCCACTTCCTCACAGCTGGCTAAAATGTTGGGCCACCTGCCAGAATCCTGACTAACTCTTTACTTTCACATTCTGACACATTTGTCATTTGATTTTTGTCAGAGAGAATCATAATTGAATAATTATTCCACCTTATAGGTGAAATTAACAAAGCGCTGATTGGACAAAAGCACCCTCTGAACAGACCATTTATAAATTCACAGCTTTGACATCTGTGTCCTTCTCGATTCATTGCCCAGAATTCATTTGTCACTAGAACAGCTCACATTGTGAAGAGATAAAGGTGGGAAAGCCTTTATTCCTTAGAAATGCCTCACAAACTTTTGGACACTAAAGGATAAAACTGAGCTGCATAAAAGAACAATTCCAGTAAACACTAGCATAAAAAGTTTAGAACTAAAGAAGATAAAAGTAAAAATAAACTGTCTTTTTTACAATATCTACCGTGTTTCCCCGATATACTGAACAAGTGTCTTACAGCTTCATTTAATGGAAATATCTTTCATCTCTATTGGGAACTTTCTCAGTCATGCATAGTTTATTTGAAATCCAAAGGTTCATTTGGTTCTGTCAGACTAAAATAGGTTATTAAAACTAGAATTTTATACTTACCCGATCCTCCTTTTGTCAAGTATTTGTTCTTTGCATAAAGAACAGAATCTAACATAGATTCGAAAAGAAGAAAATAACCCTGCAGAAAACAGGAAAAAAAAAAAAATGAAGTTTGGAAATGTGTAATATCCTCACAGAAAGATCAATTTAAATATCTGCCTATTCTTTTTATAAAAATACACTGTATTTACTTTGTCTATGCCATAAAATATTCTGCAAAAGTTGAAATTATTTTTTTGTAGTAAGTTCTCTACATAAATATTGTTAGAAAACCAGGCCAGGGTATAAAGTGAACCTAGAAAATTTATTATGGTAGAATCTACTGAACCTTTTTAATCTGTGCTTCCACTTTTTAGACTATTGTTTCTTTCTCAAAGAAATATTTCAGATGGAAATTGTTAACAAAACTTGTAACTCTCCGGAATATCGAAAAATTAATCTAGAGAAGGTCCTCAAGATTTTGCTCTCTGGGTGATGTCTGGACACATTTTGATTGTCACTAACAGGGATGGGGTGGAGGGATGCTATTGGCATCTAGTAGAGAGAGCCAAGGATGCTGATGAGCATCCTACAATGAACAGAAAAGCCCCCATAACAAAGAACTGTTTGGCCCCAGATGATATATCCTGGTTGATCTAATCTAGTCTAGAACATCATTTCCCAAACTGTTTCCTGCCCCAGTGACTCTCCCTTTGGTTAAAAGAAAAAAGGGGGTGGGGGAATTGGCTTTAATCCAAGAGATTTGAGAAACACCAGATGCTACGTCCTCTTCTTGAAGATTCATAGTGCACATTATCACAATAAAAGTTCTAAGAAGTGTTAAGGTAAAGAACACTGAGGAACATATTTTAACTTCTCTTTGACTAGACACCTCTTTTTCCTATTTAACATCTATCAACACCTTGCACGGGTAGTGTTTGAAACAGTTCATGAAACATAGCCCCACTGCACTCCAGGTTTTAGAGAACAGTAATGAATCCTCTGCCAAGAAAGAAAAATCACAGCACAAAAGAAAAGATAACTTGTCCCTACCGGTGTCACGAACAGTGCATTCTTAACAGTATGCTACAGTTTATTAAATAAATGACAAAGTAATCATAAGTGAGAAGTTAATGCCAGTTTCAGTTAGTCTTTCTCCTTCTAAGGGCCCATCCGCCAACAGCCCTGATAAGCAAGGAAAATTAAATGCGTGGTGCAGAGCTTAACACATACTATACCTATTGGTCAGGGTGAACCAATATGAATTTTACCCTGATGTTAGCATTCTAAATCAAAACTGTTCTCACTCATTTGCTTTGTGTTCAAATAACTGTTCGACAGGATAAATACAACTGCCTTTAAACACAATAAGAAGTTTTTTTAATGGTTTCTCTAGAACAAGAAAATGCAAATCCAGATGGATAATCTTCCCAAGAGATTAACAGCAAATTTAAATTACAAAAAACACAGCTCTCATGCTTGAATCACTTATGAAGGAAGCTAATTAAATTGCCTCTAGCAACTCTACTTTGGCATTTACCTCCAACACACTAATTCATTGATAAGAAAATAATTGCCTACAAAAAAAAAAGATTTTGCAACAAAGCTTTTACGAATGTGTTTACATTAGGAAAATTAAGGATTTGGTGGAAAGTCTTTCTCTAGATAGATTTCTTCAGTAACATGTCTTAGTACCCTTTTAACATCATCTGAGTATTCAAAGCATAAGAGATTTTTGGAATTCAAATAAATCTTTTCAATCTGACATGACATGCAGATCTATGCACACAAATATTAATAAATAAGCATTCATCAACTGAATAAGGTGAATTATAATTTATGCTAAGGAATTATTAAAAGAGGAGGCATCACCTTGGCCAGTTGCTCAGTGGTTAGAGTCTACCTACAGATTGAAGGTTTGTGGGTTTGAATCGAGTCAAGAACACATACCTTAGTTGCAGATTCCCCTACTGGGGTACCTGGGTGGCAACTAATCCATCTCTTTCTCTACTGTCAATGTTTCTCTTTCTCTCTCTTTCTCCCTCTCTGCACATCCTTCCTCCCTTCCACTCTTTCTAGCAATCAATAAAAAAAATAAAATTAAAATTAAAAAAAATCCTGGGGAAAGGATTTATAACAACAAAAGAGGAGGCATTCATTTGCCCTATGAGAAAAAGATCTGCTGATAAAACATGTTAATAGGGTGAAGAAAAAATGGTCCCTATTTGCAAGAGTGCTGAATGTTAAAATAAAAAAAAATAAAAAAATAAATTCACATTTTTGGTACAAATTAAGTATTCATTACATTCCAATCATTTTTGGAAGGGGGTATTAAAAACTGTTACTGGTTTGGCACTGTGTCAAAACTGTTTCTAGTATTACTCTTTCAAAGCAGTTAGCTAAATCTAAGTACTTTGCTTCCATATGCTCAAACACCATCTTACTTTCATATACTACAAACCAAAAAAAAGTCTTTAATCAATAGGTGAAAGTACTTCCTTCTAGCAACACGTTCCTTTATTGTACTTAAAATAAAGATATTATTAGCCATTCATCAGAGATTAAATTACACCATATTTTAAATTGGTATTATTTCAATACCAATTGTATAGTGGTTGAGAGGATGGATTCCTGGATTTAATCCCAGATAAACCCTCTTTTCTATGTGACCTTGGGTAAGTCAACATCATTTGCTTCGTTTCTTCATCTGTAAAGTGACAGTGACAATGACATTGTATTTCATATAGTTGCTGTGAGGATTAAATATGTTCATACATGTAAAAGGTTTAGAACAAATTTTATTAGCCCAGCTGAAAAAAATTAAGAGCTATGTAAAAAGACGTATTTGTAAAGGCTAATCAGAATTTTGAAATTATGTTTAATATTAGAGGATAAAGGTTTACCAGACTGTCCAGATTGATGAAATAACATTTATTTAGTGAGGAGTCTTATAATCCATAAGCAAGCAGTAAAATTACTTTTTCCCCAGGAATTAACCAGGTCACATTTTCTTGTGTCACTTCTTTTTTCACATCAGCCAAGACTATGAATATGTATATACAGACGACAATATATATGTAATAATATATATATCTACATATACATCTGCTAAAATTTTACTTAAAATTAATAAAAATTTAAAAACCCTATCAAAACAATTTGATCAAATTGTAAACATTAGTGCCAATTCCAAGCTTCTTCTTAAAAAAGATAATCACAGAGATTTCCACCACCACCCCTCCTCCCCCCAGGCCAAAAAATCTATTTTATTTAATACTCTAAACTAGTATTTATAATTTAAGACTTTCCCATCTACTTGCTTTCATTTAATATAATAAAAACCAATAGGCATTTTCCTATTTATCCCTTCATGATTACCTTAGCTAAGATTAGAATCCTGATAAAAAATATTAGAGATAGTTTCTAAGATTCTAATTATTTAAAATAACCTTATTTTCATATGAGAGAAATCAGTACTAGAGAGGTTAAGTAAATTATTTTATGTCATGTTGATGGAAAAACAATACTGGACAATTTTTAACATCTCTTACAAAACAGTGGCCTTAAGATTCAATTCTCAATATTGCTAAACTCAATAGTGAGACAGATTGGAAACAAACAAAAAAAAAATCATCATCCCTGGTAGTAAAAATACTCTATCATAAATGCCATGTCTTTGCTTCTCATTTTTTAGAATCAGCCAACATAATATGGTCAAAGAATTTATGAAAGTAAATCATCAAATGCTCTTCCTGATATATGTAAAGAAAGCATTCAGCACAGTGCCTGGCACAGAGTTAACACAATGACCATATGGCAGAGCTCTTTAATTGGGTGGAAGTCATTATGTGGGAGTCAGCTACTAAAAGGTAGAACTAGACTAAGCTATATAGAAGCAGAAGGACACAGCAAGTCCTTTCCCCTATTTTTAAAAATCATTTTTAATCTTCACTGGTGTATAATTAAAAAATACTGCCTAGCCAGCATGGCTCAGTGGTTGAGTATTGACCTATGAACCAGGAGGTCACTGTTCAATTTCCAGTCAGGGCACATGCCCGGGTTTCGGGCTCAATCCCCACTGTGGAACGTGCAGGAGTCTGCTGATTAATGATTCTCTCTCATCATTGATGTTTCTATTTCTCTCTCCCTCTCCCTTTCTCTCTGAAATCAATAAAAAATATTTTTAGAAAACAAACAAAAAGCAAACAAAAAAACACAATAATTTCCTCTAGAAAGTATTATTGTTTTGCTTTCTAAAATTACAAATTTCAAATAATAGTGGTGATGACTTTAAGTTCATTATGTTAAGTGTCTTTATATGGATCATCTTATTTAATTCTTCCCTAAAGCATATTATTGTTATTTCCATTTAACAGATAAGAAAATAAGGCTTAAACATGTTAAATTACAACTTAAAATAAGAGGACTTAAAAAACAGCTCATAATCATGGAAACAGTTGAAAAAGCCAGGATGTGAACTGTGGTGTAAAAACACAAACCAAGTTCTGAATCATTATTTTATATTGCTTCTTAAGTTAATTTGCTGGATTGAAAATAAGATTTACTACAGTTACAACTAAGTATTCAAATGTTCTGAAATAAAAAATCTCCCCTAGAGCATATTAAACAAGAATTGAATTTACAGTAGGTATATGATTCATAGTATTTCAAATTGATAGTTTAGTTGGCAACTATTACCACCATTTTATTGTAAAAATTATCAGTTTAGAAAAATCAATTGAAGTACCAGTATATATGTAGAAGCAATATATGACAGTTGTGAGATAAATTAATATGACTTGTTAAAAACATTAGCAGATGAGAAGAGTCATATATGTATTGCTAAAGGTTACTGTCCTTTCTCTCAACTTTCCACTTTGCTAAACTTCATTTTAACTATAGGCTCCCTGCGTGACCGGATAGCCTTTAATTTCCTGGGAATTGTCCTTCGTTCTGACCAAGTTATTCATTACTGATACCAGAAGGCTTTGCTCCAAATGCCCTACTCAAGACTATAATTTCACAGGCTGCTGCTTCACCTGTAGGGTGCCATCTGGAAGAGAATTATCCACGGTATTTTCTCCCAAAATGCTCATGGGG